TAAGGGTAAGGCAAAGAGTGAAGGTGATGGCGAGGCCCATAAATACGTCGCCAAATACAGGGAGGAATCTGAACGTTGCGTTGCTGAGGTTGCCTTGTCCGTTAAGGAGGTACTCACTGCCAAGCGCAAGGGCCCTTCACAACCCCACAATGATGCCAAGAGGTTGAAGATATGGTAAATTGACATGTGTTTTTTGTTAATTGTTTTTTATATTAATTGAATGATTGTTTGTACTTTGTGGATTGTTGATAAATGTATTTGTGTTTTGTAGGATGGGGAAGAGGAAACTGAATGAAAGTGACAGTGATGTGTCTGATGAAGAGGGGGAGACTGAGAAATCGGATTTGTTGGATGGCCAGAATGAGTCCGGTGCAAATAAGGGTGACGGTAGTTTGGATTCGGTAACTGGGGGTGGAGTCTCGTGTGAAAGTGGGTCTGAAGAAGAGAAGGAATATGCTGTACAAGGAAAAGTGAGTGGCGAAAGTACCCAGGCAGGACTGAGTGTTGTGGCTGAACCTGTTGTAAGCGACAAGGCTACTGCAATGCCAAAGGAGTCAGTGGTTGCTGGACTTAATGCTGAAGAAAATAGATATCAGGATTGCCGTGGAGGTGTGTCTGACAAGTTTGATGGTGCTCTGAATCAAACCTCCAATGCCTCGAATACTGTGGGCTCTGAAAACGTGGCCAGTGCTGGTGAATCTAATGATATGGAAATTGATGGATCTCTTGAGCATAAAGTAGCAGTCAATGAAGAAAGCTCGCCAAGCACTAGTGTTCCCACATTGGAGGAGCCCCTGAATTTTGATGCTTTTAATGCAGCTGCCGAACTTGAGGTATAATTTCATTAACATATTCGCTCCTTCTGTCTGTCTGTGTGGTAGTACCTTTTGTTATTATTTTAATTATACACTGCTGCATTAATATGTTGAATTTTATTTGATGAATCTTGTCTAGCACTAACTTTTAAGCTAACTGTTTTATGAAAGTTCTATTGATATTTTGGTGTTTGGATGTAATTTTGTTACATGTCACAAACTTGTAGTTTTAGAGATATTTTAAAATATAAGTGGCCATGGATTGTTGTTTATTAGCATCTGAAGTTTAATGCGGTTGCCATTTCTATGGCCTTGGCAGGTTCTTGGCTTGGAAAGGTTGAAGTCTGAACTGCAGTCACGTGGGTTAAAATGTGGAGGTACTTTGCAGGAGCGTGCTGTTAGGCTTTTTCTTTTAAAATCGACTCCTCTGGATAAGCTTCCAAAGAAGCTGCTTGCAAAGAAGTGAGGAGTATTTTGGGATGGCAGTTCCTTCTCTGTACAGTATTTTCATAACTATTTGGACCTTTTACTTAGGTGTCAGTTGTATCCTCTGGCTTGGGGATCTGACTGATGCATGCCTTTTCCGTTCGTTTTAGTGTTCATCGTGGGCTGTGTTTGTTGATGTAGTAATAATACCTTTGCTGGCAGCCAAAGGAAGCTGAACACTGTATAACCCAAGAATTATGCATTGTGAACAATTCCAATTTGCTGTTTTAGTATTAGATTATCAGAGGAGCTTTCCCCTTGGTATCATCAATGGCTGGATATTATTGTTCTTATTTTTTCCAATTATTTAAGGGTGGGCATAAAATCCAATTGTGTAAAGCCAATCCGTAACTAGATTGACACAAATCATTTACAAATTTGATTTGCTGGATTGGTATTTTATTCAAAACCATCTATTTTTTTCCTTTTCACAAATTGGTGTCCATTTCTTTGACTTGTGAATTTTCAAAATGAAAACCAGAAATTCAAATCCAAATTTGTAGACTTTGTCGTTCAGGCATTCATGTCTTCACAATAGCTCCACCTCTATGCCTTAACTCCAAAGTCAAAACCAAATCCGTAGCACGTAGCACCCTTCCTACCTCATTTCTAACACACCCCAAATCATTCCTTGTTCAATGTATCACGGTATCTCCCTTGTCACAAATTCACAAACCTTAATTCCCAATCTCATCTCTAATCACTCCCATTTGCTTTCAATTGCTCCTCTTCGTTCACGGGCCAAGGTATTGAATTTTCTCATTGTTGTAGGGTGATTTTGCTGCCCCGCTATTACAGCCTTAATGTTTTTGGTGCATGTTTTGATGGTTTCTGTGGCTGATGGTGATGATTTGATGCGTGTTGATGCAGATATGTTAATTTTTTTATGATTAATTTTAAATTCAATAGCTTGTTAATTGTTAATCTGACCCCTGTGACGTACACGGTCATAAAAGTAGAAATTATAAAGTGAAATGCAACTGTACGAGGATACAGTCCTACCCATAGAACTTCCAATAAACCTGAGCTTGTTCTGCTGCTTTGAGAATCATAGTGTCTCTAATCAGAGACATCAGGGAAAAGGTCATCAAAGTTCTGCTTTTACAGGCAGAATTTGTCAAGGTTAGAAGCTTTTACTTTTTAAGTTTTAATAGTTAGTTTTTACATTCTCAAATTCTCAATCAATATTAAGTACTACATAGTACATGCAACATACATACTCCAGTATTCAATTATTTTTTAAAAACCATTTGATGTGTACAAGCTAGCTTGCGGCAGCAGAAGAACAACTTTGGGAGAATGGTAGGAGACAAAAAAAAAAAAACCATTATAAACCATTTTAACTTGCGGAGGTCGAGTCGAAGTAGACATGTTGCTTGAGTTTACCAAACTCTTAAAATTAGAGTTTGTAGATAAATAAAGTAAATAACTTGGGACTTGTTCGGATTGGTTGTGAGCTTTTGGTTTTCGGTTTTTAAGTGTAATTTTTGAAACCAAACGTGTTATTTTTATCATAATCAATAACATTGTTATTATCGTCATTACCATTATTATTATATTTATTGTGACCATTATATCTAATATCATCGATCAATGGAGATTTTACAATCACCACCATTACAAGAAATGTCACCATCATGATCTCACACCACTATTATCATTATGATATTATCACTAGTAACACAAACACACTCTTAAATTAATTTAACATGTTATGAAACTTCAAAAGTAAAATAAACTAGAATTTAGAAGAAGAAAAAATCTAAAAATTGAAAATTAATTTAATTAAATCACTTCAAATGATCCTTACTTTGTAGGATTTTTACTTAGCTCTAGTGCCTAGATATTGATTTTAAATCCAATCTATTCAAATACACATGGGTTGGGTACAAAAATCGACCTCAACAGTTATTATTACAATCTATATTATACTAAGAGCAACTTCAATGGAAGTTACTTAAGATTTATCTTAAAGACAAAGAACAATGCTTACAAAAAACTGTCATTGGAGTGATCTGACGTGGCAAGAAAAGTTGAAAATTTTTTAGATCTGTTGCTTTAGGTAGGAACGATGCTTGGGTCTCTGAAATGCCAAATGGAAAGCTCTCAATGGTTCATCTTCCAAGCTAGAAGCTTTAACAACACGCTTTGGACAACCACACCTCAGACAGCCACGCCTTAACAACCTTGGAATTACGCGGAGGAGTGCAGTTCAATGGTGGTGACGAACCCTGTCGTAGTCGTCGACTAGCGCCACAGCTGCCAACCCCCATGCTAGCCACTCCTCGTGCGAAGACCTCGGAGAAAGCCTCGGTCATGATGCGCGGATGAGCTTCTCTAGAAAACCCACCTTAGTATCACAAATTTTGGAAAGGAAAAAGAATCGGTCATGATGCGCGGATGAGCTTCTCTAGAAAACCCACCTTAGTATCACAAATTTTGGAAAGGAAGAATAAGGGAAGGTGAACGTTGAAAAAAAATAGGGAAAAGTGTGGTAATCTAAAAATAAATGGGACAGTGGATGTTCGAAAAAATTGTAATTTTTTTAATTATATAATTTTTTTGTTTGTTATTCATATTTATATATTATACATAATTAATTTTTTTAATTTATCAAAAAATGTAGTGTGAGTTGTCAAAAAGTGTAATGAGTTGTTAAAAGGTGGAGATGCTTATAAGTAATTCTCATTGAAGCAAAAATTATAAAAATGTAAAATGAGTTTTTTATGAGTGATGTAACATAGTGAGACTCATTTAAAGTAGACTAGAGTACTTATAAGCAACTCTTATTGTAGATGCTCGGGATAAACTGTTTAACATTGAAATACTCCAAATAATATAAACCTTTGAAGTGTGATTACCGAACAGTGAGAGTAGATGAATTTGTTTCCCAAATTTGACGTTGAGTGCTTAATGGGTAAATCAAGGGTTACTGGACATAACTAGAGTAGTAGAAGGAGGAGAGGAGGGAGAGTTGCGACAAAGGGGGCATGTTCTGTTCATACGAAGCCATTCATCTATGCGATCAGCATGGAAGCAATGTGCACATTCAGGAACGCATCTGATTGTCTCTTTGGTTTTATAATCTGACAGGCATATGGTGCAACATCCGTCACTGAGACAAGGTACTCGTCGGCTCTCACCTAGTACCAACGTCTCATAAGACTCCATTGTAGATTCATCTAACCCCATCCTATCAATAATGGCAGGTTGGGGTGGGTGATATTGCAGTTGTTGTTGACCTCTGTGCAACACCAATGTTGGCTGTATTGCCTCTTTTGTACTTGAAGGACACGTAGCATGCCATCCCAATGGCACAAATGATAGCTGATCCAACAATGGATAATGTGATGATTCCAAAATCTCCAAGACCGTGCTGTGAACCACCTGAAAATTCAAGAGTACTCACTAATAATGAGTAAATACAAGACCAAGGTGCCCTTTTGTATTTTAGTCTTCAAAAAGACCTTAATCATAAAATGTTACTCAAAAATCTTCTGTCGTGCTCTAGTCCTCTATTAAGGCAAGTGTAATATTTTAATTTTTAAGTATTAATTTATCAACAATCTCTGAAGACTTAATAGAATCAAATTTTGCATGCAAGCCACCAACTTTAGTATGTTTTTCATTAATCAAGTCCCAACAAGTAAACCAACTGTTACAGTCAAGAGACGTACATAACAGAAAATTCGTATCAAAACATTGACTTTAAATTTTCTAACAATTTCTTTTATGACAAGTGAGCTTACGACTCACATAATAATGACAACTCTATCGAGAACACGAACAACTTTGGATTATAAGTTTCTGACCAAAGCTAATGAGTTAACATTATGGAAAAAAGCATATCGAAAATAAGATCACATAAAAAATAAGATGACGCATATTTACCCGTTCGATAATCGAAGAAACAATGAACTTGACGACTGTTTCTGCTCTCAAATCCGCACATGGCCTCTTATGATTCGCAATATCTACAATCAGGTGCACTCCATGTTATCAGGTAAATAAATATAATCCAGATGTTTCTTCATATTAGACGAACTTAATAGGAATAGACTCACAGTCATGGATCGATACATGTGATCATGAAATTTCATATAATTAAAAATTAATATTTTTTTAAACAAATATTTTGAATTAAGTGAAAATATAATAACAATATAAGTGTTTACAACTTTTTATAATAACTACTATAAAAATTATACAATATGTGGGATGAATTTTTCGTAGTTTTTCAGTATTAAAATTTGTACATTAATAATAATATATAAAAATAAAACTATTTATTTTAAAAATCATACATATAATGTTCTTTTTAATTAATATACGTTTTCAAGGGCTGAAGGTGAAATTCTATAACAGCCAAACCTGAAGGCTACTAACATAAAGAGTGTGATGCTTATTTAGAAGACTGAAGACTAGAGTAAAAAATATAGCATCAAAATGGAACAGAATTCTCTATGTTGGGCACCTCCACGGAGTTGACTATGGTTTATTCGCAACCCTTTTTAACAAACCTGCAACTCCATTTCTTATTACGAGACACACTTTAAAAAATAACACATAAATAAGTTCCACAACTACTCACAATACAATATCAGAATCCAAAGCGAACCATCTCTCTGCGTTCACTTCCTTTATCAATTACTTCAATGCTTTGGAGTTCTGTGCTATTAATCATCTTGGTGAACTTTTGATTAGGGGAAGAAGAAACCAGAAGCAAACACTAAGAATGCCAATAAGTTTGCTAACTAGACCCAATAGCCCAGAGTCATTTAAGGTTATTTATAACCGTGTAGTCAGAGGAAGTGATGTTCCCAAGTCCGTCAACTTGTCTTCTAGACGAGATTATACAGCTACTTCTTAACCAGTTTCTTTATTGTTACTCATGATTTGTAGCAGAATTACTGCCAAAAAAGGAGATATACCTCACAATTTCACATGCAAAAAAGAGATGCGGTATTTTGATCATTTGTGGAACCCAGTTACAATTTCCCCGCAGCTAGATGTGGCTGCCCTGCCCTTCCTAACCTTATGCAGAAGTTTAACTTTTGGAAGTGAAGATAATATTGTATTCTGTATTGCCCCAAAAACTACATGCTCTCAAAAAGAATGCATCATTTATTGTTTGAAGAAACTATAGTTGCATTAGTGAAGCCTTTTCATCATGCAAATCAGATTTCACTTTGACTGAAAAAACTTGCAGATTTTTCTTCTTGGAGATGGAGAATCTGAGGCTTTTCTTCAATGAGGTATTTCCAACTATAAAAACTGGAGCATTTATTGATTCCATTGTCCCAGCTAGTATCGGTTTTATATGATCTAGAACGCACTTACATATTTGATATTAATTGGGACGTGGAAATGTACTTGTAAATTAAAATCATATTTGAGTAGCTGCAAACAAATGCTGATAATTATCTTGTTCAGCATGCAGGATCATTGCTATCAGTTTTGGGGTTTCAGAGGCGCCTTGATGGTGAAAACCTTTGTTCACTATGTCGTTAGGCAATTTTGACATACTGAATTACAGGATTATAGATAGTTTCTAATTTTCCTTGTTACATAATTGTCAATTGCTTTGTTAATTAATTTGGTTCGTATGTATATACTCAATATTTTGCCGTGTACCGGTGATTCTCTTTTGTTGTTTGACTTGATATTTAATTGTTACAATTGAAATCATGTGATAGAACATATTAATGAAAATCATTGTTTTTTAATACAATGATCCAAAAGTATGAACCCTCTGACGACAGTTTGTGTGTGCACACGTGAGCATATTTCATCCATCTACATTCACTTAATGTATACAATTAAAAAAGAATATGATCACTCACCAAACCGATCCTTAAATCTCATCACATTTTCATAGAAGAACAAAATACAGTCGTAAACGTAGGCATTACATTACTGATCATGCAGCTGCAAAAAAAAAAAAAAAAACATTCAAAATGAAGAAAGCAAAAAAGTTCAATCTCAAGTTCAGGTGAGGAAGCCAAACGTTAGGATTGTTCATCTCGGCTAACTTCTAGCTGGCTATATATCTATATACATCAAGAAGTTCCATGACTCCGTTCACATGCAGTAGGATGAGGCTTAGTCTGAAGTGGTTGAATGGGACACGTGACACAGCTTGTACAAGTGCAAACAAATCTAGGAGCGAACACAATTACCCTGCTTTATCAAAGTGACATACACGTAAGATACAACTAATAAGTTGGTTCTTCAGCATAAATTTCAGTGAACAGATGAAGTAAATATGAAACAAGGGAAGAGCGTACCTTTAGCTAGATTGGTTGGAAAGGTAGCGTCTCCAACTGAGTCCATTTGGTAAGTCTGAGGAAGCGAACGCTTTTCTGATTTTTTCAAATACGCCAATACTTCGAGAACGATAACTGCCACAAGTATAATGCTAACAAGGAATCCATAGCCTATCTTCCAATCATTCCCTGCCCCAGCAGCTCGCATCCCCAACACTATATTCAAGGCTGCAAAGAAAAGTGCCATTCTTCCAAACCAACTGTGATACAAATTCCAAATGTTTCGAATCTTGGAATCCTTGTCTGGCCTCAAGAAGAATGCCAATATCTGAATTCACAGCTTTACATGTCAGTTCTAATTGCACTTTACATGGAAAGTATATATCTGAAGTCATCAAGATTAATTTTATGCCAATGAAAAATTGCATTAACCCCCTTTCTCTACATATAACTTTTTTTTTTAACTATTTCACACGAATTAAAAAAAAATGGTTAATTTAGTTAAGGAGCTTGTATTTAGGAATGTGATGAACAGTACTATGCCTAGGTAGTACTTAACAAAGCGATTGGCAGAGGACTGAACATTACATTGAGTATAATACATGACACGGGTCAGTAGCAGACCTGAAGAATACTTAGGACAAGGACAAAGATGCCTATGCCTCTGTGAGCTGGAATGTGCACATGCGTTTTTCTATAGAGTTGTAAACCAAGAAGGACCGTGCCAAGCCCAAATGCAAATCCCACAAATTGAATGACCGAATGGAGATAGAACCATAGGGGATCCTTATGCCTGAAGTACCTAGCAATAATTGCCCCCACAGGCAGGATTAGGCCCCACCCTATTATACCCACTATTCCATGGCTCTTCCTCATCTGAATCAACCCATTAGATACCGGACCCGTAGAACCTGCCACATGTATAATTGTCAAATTTCTTCTCTGGAAAAAAATTTATCATATAAACATCTAGTCATACGAAAAAGACAATTATATCTTTTTAATTTTATGAACATAATGGCTAATTCAAGTTTAGGCCCTACAATTAAAAAGTTCTTCACTTTGGGATGAAAAATTAAATACACTTGTTCAAATTAACTTCAACTATTTTGGAGTAAAATGTGGTTTTGTTAAAAACATTAATTAAAGCGAAATTTTCCTTTAAAAACTTAGCCGACCAAGTTGGAAGCACCTGTAACTGTATGCAACAACATAGCATAATAATTATGAAGTGGCACATCTGGTTTTGCACCTGAAGAAAAATCAAATATAACTGCTGTTTTGTCAACATGTTTTGACAAATGGTGGTTCTGTGGATGTTTAGTACTGAAAGCCAATAGAATCGGTTGCTTTCCAAATGGAATAGTCGTTTGCAGCTGAAAAGCTATGTAAATTTCAGCCCCATTTGTTGCCACGGCTGCAGGCACATTACTTAGAGGCAGTTCACCTTTGTCTACAATTACTTCTGATTGCCTCCTACCCCTTAGATAAAACTGCTTCACTTTTGCATGACCATGTTTGTTAATCCATCCCACCATTGCACTCGAACCAGCCATCATACCATCCCTAGAAAATCCAATTCCCACCCACCCAACAGTGTAGGGAGCAGACAATATGATAGTTGTGGTATCACCCGTTTTAGTGTACTGCAACATAAGTTAGATGCAAAGGGACAATCATCACATTAAAATTACAAGAAAGCAATCATTTACAGCTAATTTAGCAGTTGTCCCACTTCTGAGACAAACGTGTGTGTTTGGTAAGAATTTTGTTACTACTTGAAGTGAATCCATCGAAATAACTATTAGTTGCTTTTCTGTCTAAATTGGCGTGATTCATGTTTGGATGTGGATTCAAACATGCATGGCATACAACACAATTTCTAAAATCATTTTAAAATAAATAAATAATACATGCATTCACCGTCTAAAGATTTTTTTACGCTTTTATGGAAAATTTATCTTAAATAATCACAAACTCAGATGATAAATTTGTTAACTGTTTTCATAATTATCTTAGAAGTCATACTAAAATGAGGCCACCCAGAACCAAAGAACGTTTCAGATCATAGTAAACAAGTTTCAACTTGCAACAGTGTAGTTTCTTAAGAGAGAGAATAAGTAAATGAGTAGAACCTACAACCTAGCATTAGAATTCTAATTCAGCTCAAACTTACCCTCAATTCGTATGAGTGCCAAACAGGTTTGCATATGGTAGAGGATATATTCTGATACGGTGGAGGGAGGAAAATCTGATAATTTGTGTTCTTGCAGTTACCTTCTGATACAATACTGCTACTTCCAGTGTCATCTGCTAATGCTACGATGTTGAAGTTCAGAACAACATTCAGAATACACGATCTGACAATAGAAGGCCATATCTGAGTCCAAGATCTTGGCTTTGCCATTCATAGACTGGATCCAAGGCTAGCAACAATGGCAGTTACAAAGGTTAAGAATAAGAGAGGAAATCTGAATAAGAGGGCCTAACAAGACAGTTGAGAGGTGTTAGTCTCTTGCGTTTGAAGGTTGGAATTTGGTTGTTGGCTTGGTGGGTGGGGATAGTGGTTGGTACCAGGAGGTAATCATCACCCCCTTCTGTTCTTGACAGCTCTACATCCAACTTCATTTCTTTCATTGGATTGGAGCTTTTTACTGATACTTCTATAAGCAGTTTAGTAAATATATTCAAAGGTTCAAATTTTCAAAATTCAGTAACAAAAAAAGTTTAAGAAGCTCATTTGCATCTGTGTCAGTAAAACATAACTTTTGTCTGGTTATCTTGTCTGTGGAGGATGGGGGCAAGGTTTTGCTTCAATAACAAGATAAAACAGGCAAAAAGTCAACATTGTTTAGTAAACAAGATGTAAAAGGAATTAAAAGACTGAAGGAAGTTATCAAATAGCAAAAAAAGATCTGCTTATGCTGGCCAAAATTGATGTAGATAGTTCTGGACATTTTGCATAGGGATTGGCTCATGGGTCTTTACTAGAATGAAAGGCATGTAAAGATTTATTTACATTTGGACATGGTTTGTGGTCCGTATAGTGATACTCTCTATAATATATTCTCTCACTTAATTCTTCTTTCTCGTTTTGGCTTTTTATAACTAAGAAATGTACCATTGTCTAATTGGTTGCTGAAGACAAAAATTGTGAGATATTAATTCCGTTCCATTTTGTTAAAGAGACAGGGATTTAACAAACGATGAACAAACATATATACAAAAAGGTCATTTCATGATGCATTTGCTGCTGATTTTGTGGAATCTAGGGGAAAAAATAAAAGAGGTAAAGTGGAGAACAAATCTAAGGCAAGGAGCTACACTGTGCAGTTAAGTTCAAAATTTTGAATGCTTGTGAATAAGTATCTCGGGAAAACAGTTGGAAGATAATCAGATTGTCTAAGAATGCAAAACAAAATTATTTATTTTAATGATTACAATGTCATGGATAGTTTTTGGTCCACCTAAGGAGATGTTCATGGATAGTTTTTTTGGTCCATCTAAGGAGATGTAACAAATTAATATTTACCGAGTTCCATCACCAAATTTAGCATTGACGTTTACATTGAACAAAGATCAAGGTGATTTAGGTCTAAAATAATAGGTTCTACAAAAACATAGGAGACGTGCTAAATGGCTTAGTTTCTGTTTCATACTGTAATTGTATTTGGTTAATTAATTATGAAAAGGTTATGTTAATTAACTCAATTCCCTTTGGTTAACACTAAGCACTAACTCTGCACTTCTTAGTCTCAGTTTATTAATTATGAACCTTTGACACATTTTTCTTAAGTTGATTCTTCTTGCATACTGATCAAATCTTATCTGTGTATTTGGATAAGCTTATTCTGTAGTATTTAAATGACATATAATTACTGAGAGAGTTTTGATTAAATGTGACATGTTTTTCTAAAAACTAAACACCAAACATGCAGTGTATTATTTCCAACGGCATGTTTAGCACTTTGACACCAAAGGCGTAGTAACTATTTTCTTTTTCTAGCGATATTTGAAAGCTACCATGTTAGTTCCACAACAACTCAATCTGGGACACCTTGAATATATGTTTTTCACCGCTCTCTTCATCAAACTTGGCAACCCATTTACTCTTGCTTTTTTTCTGCTACAAAATTCTGTCACCCCAAGTTTCTTATCAGTTTCATCATTCTTGTAAAGCATAGTCACTTGCATACCTTTTCCTATAGGGTGCTTTAGAGATTTCACCGTTACTTTCTCATCCTTTGTTCTTACATAATCTCTCAACTCTTTTGTATTACCAACCAAATTGTTGCTCACCACTACAGATCTCATAGGGTTGAGATCTAACAAGTTGAGCAACCTTGCATAATTTTCATCTTTGCAATCAAAGAAGGAGAAATCAATATTTTCATAATATGACAAAATCCTGGATGGATCTTCAATTCTAAATTCTACTTGATCTTTAAGTCCCGAGTTCCTAATAACTTCTTCTGACTCATCAAGTACCGGTTCTGGAAGAATACACACATGTGTTATTTTTTAATGTGTGTCTCGTAATAAGAAATGGAGTTGCAGGTTTGTTAAAAAGGATTGCGAATAAACCATAGTCAACTCCGTGGAGGTGCCCAACATAGAGAATTCTGTTCCATTTTGATGCTATATTTTTGACTCTTCAGTCTTCCAAATAAGCATCAAACTCTTTATATTAGTAATTCAGGTTTGACTGTTATAGAATTTCAGCTTCAGCCCTTGAAAACGTATATTAATTAAAAGAACATTATATGTATGATTTTTAAAATAAATGAATTATTTATATATATTATTATTAATGTACAAATTTAAATACTGAAAAATTACAAAAAATTCATCCCACATATTGTATAATTTTTATAGTAGTTATTATAAAAAAAATTACAAAAACTTATATTATTATTATATTTTCATTAAATTCAAAATAATTGTTTAAAAAAGTATTAATTTTTAATTATATGAAATTTCATGAGCACATGTATCAATCCGTGACTGTGAGTCTATTTCTATTAAATTCGTCTAATATTAAGAAATATCTGGACTATATTTATTTACCTGATAATCTTTTTATACTTATAGGTTCTAATGTGATATTATTATTAATTATCAGCTTATATTTTTTTTTTTAGTTTCTCTCATTTTTTTCTTTAAAATAAATATTTTTTAACATTTATATTCATTCATTCATTCAATTTTTTTAATTGATCATTCTTAATTTCTACTTGTAGGAACTTTTATAAAAAAAATAAATAAAATTTAGACAAGAGTATTAAATAAAATTAAATACTTTTAATTGCTGCTGATTGTTAGTTACTATTAAAGACAAGAGTATTATACTATTTTATTGTCATTCTTACAACAGATATAGACTTAATGTACAGTTTTCAAATAAAAAATATAAAGAACATTATTTAATAAATATTTTTTTATTCATTTAAAACAATAGAACAGGTAATAGACAAAAATATTAATATGTCTTTTTCACAAACACTGTTGGTGGTGTAGCTCGTATGGTAGAACGCTTGCTTTGTATGCTAGAATTACAGGGTTTGGTCCCTGTATCTCCATAATTTTACTTTTTTCTCTTATTTTTTGCTGTCAGCAACAAAATCAACATGGGGGTGTAGCTCATATGGTAGAGCACTCATTACCACAATATTATGTATTTGTCTTTTTTTTTTTATGGGTTTTGGTTAAGTAGTTGAGAAATTCTCTCTCTTTGAAATATTAAAATTTATATAATTATTATTGGAAAAATTAGTACACTTTTTTGTTTGTCCATATTGAAGGAGAAAATCCTCTTTTTTATGGGTTTTGGTTAATTAGTTACGAAATTCATTCTCTTTTTTGAAATACTAAAATTTATATGATTATTATTGGAAAAAATAATAGGCTTTACTATGACGAAGTGTCTTATTATATTTTAGAAGACTTAAAGTTTTGGAGTGATAAAAGTTCATAATATTTATCTACTCGAAAAAATGAAAATAAAGTTATTAAAGATGTTTGAATTTTGAATAGTCAATGGTGGAATAGTTAAAAGATTTTAGCATGTGTGGTAGAGGTAAAAACATGTCAAACAGTCTATTAGGATCTCTGAAATATATATTGTGATTATATTTAAAAGATAATTATTAATAATAATTTATAATATTATATCAATTTATTTAATAATAAAGAACTTTTATTTTTAATTTGCAGCTTGAAATTTGTAAGTTCATACCATATTATGTTTTTTTTGAAGCACATACCATACCATATTATGTTATAAACTTATTTCACACATCTTTCATTGCTTTAAAAAAAAGATATTTCACAATGTCATAGACTATTTAGATTTGTCCAATTGTCTCGGATGCTTGATTTGAAATAAAATTAATCATATCATATGAATATTTTTTAATATAAATATAATGATTTGCCGATAATTATAATGAATTATTATATTTATAAATATATAATTATAATAATAATAATAATAATAATAATAATTATTATTATTATTATTATTATTATTATCCATATCATAAGTTTACGTATTTCAAAACTTCATTTGACCTACTCCTATGTATGATTGCTCAAATGGAAGAGGAGGTGCTCGAACAAGTTGTTGAAGTAAGGAATAAAACACATAAACTTGGGGTATAATAATAAAAAAACTTGATGTTAAAATGAACCTGAGATATAAAGCATTATTTTGAATTTGAATTTTAATAATATAAAGCATTATTTTGAATTTGAATTAATTAAATAAAATGTATTAAAATTGTTCAAGTTTCCCAAAAAAAAAAAAAAAAGAACCTTAAAGTTGAATGATGCATAATGGAGTGAGTTCTCATTGGTTAATTAAAAAATAAACACAGTTGGAATAAGTTAAAGAAATTTGACTAAAGTGTAAGACTATGTAAGAGTATCATTTGACCATAGTGTAAAACTATGGAAGACTATTTAACCATTTAGTATTCTAAAAAAAAAAAAACATTTAGTAAAACGTACATCTACATTAACCAAGTTTAATGTGTATTATTATCCTAATAGGCTATGCAGTACACATTAAAGGTTGAATGGTCTTTTATTAAGTATGATGAGTGTTACTAGGTGTATCTCTATTAGATAAATGGTCTTCGTTAAGTATCTCTTTTATTAAGTATGATAGGTCGTTTATTAAGCATTATTATATGATACAAGATAAAATTATATTAATTCATTTTAAAATGTCATAATTACTTTAATTTTTTAAAAAGATTAATTATAAATTAATCACATTATTCCACATGACAAATTAATCTTTATTGTTTGTTTTACAACATGGGCTAAGTTTTAATTGAATTAAGAGTCGAAGTTTATTCAAAAAATTATTAAAAAATTCTTTTTTTTCATCGTCAATTAATATTCATAATCAAGTCTTAATTAATTAATATTGTAAATATTTATACTTATTGATGATACGAATCAAGCTAATTAAAAAAGTAAATAAATTAGATAAGTAAAATATATAATAAACATAATAAAAATAATTTAAATATCAAATATTTCAACATATAAGTAGAGTTGTGAAAGTTAATTTGGTTCAATTGATTGGTTCGTTGAATATCTAGGTTAAATTGAGCCAAATTTTTTAGTTATATCTGAAAAGGGAAAATCAGTAAATCAAGATGAACAAATAAAATGAACAAATAAAAAATTATGTTTGAAAGGCATCAAACCTATTTGACTTGATTTTTTTTAATATATATATATATATATATACTCGTGGAAAAGTCCT